TAAAATATCATGGGTCTGTTCTCTACTACCTGAAAATTATGCAAAATAAAATAATACCCAGCTACAAAATACGCTTAGAGTGTCCAATAATATTCTGATCTTTCCCGCAGTCTTTTTATTGCCTAAGACCTCCTGAGGTCAGAGGTCACAATGGGGCCCCATTTTCTAGGTCACTCGGTCAGTCATTAAACAAATATTTCTTATTCACCAACCATGCAGAGCACAGTTCTAATTACTAGGGACACACTAAAATTGAACTCACTTCTGTCTTAGAATAACTTGACCAGTAGAAGCAGCAAAGGATGTTTGACAGGCTCTTTCAGGACATCTGCGTGGAAAAGGCAGAGAAACAAGGGCCAGCCGGTAAGAAAGTAGGTGCATTAGTAACCTAACCAGAACCAAAGTAACTCCTTATAAACCTAGAAGCTTCCAGAGACACGATTCATAGTTGAGCCAATTTAACAATTTCATCAGTGACTTGGGTAGAGATGTATAAAAACCAGTGTGATGTACCCTGCAAATGGCATTTCTTTGAGAGAGCAAAAAAAAGGTTCTAAATGACAGAGTCATACTCCAAGAAACACCAGGGGTAGAACCAAATAAAATAAAGCAAAACGAAGCACAATACATGTCAAATCTTGCAATGACATTCATACAGGAAGGCAAGATATGGCTAACAGCAGCATATGATTAAGGACTTAGGGGTTTTAGTGAGCAGGAAACTCACTGAGTCTGAGCAGCGTGGCCACCAAAAAATGAATGCACCCTTGGACTCCATCCATGCAAGCAGGACATGCAAGTGGAAGGAAGGGCACTCCTACTCTGCCCAGGTCAACGGGAAGACTTCAGTTCTGGGTCCAACTTTGACAGGTGTTGGTTGCCCAGTGAGTAACTGAAATACATCTATAAAGACCTGTGGTACAGGCCACCAAGGGAGTAGAATACAAATCAGCAAGTAACTTTAGATTTCAATGTTACAGGTTAAAAAAAAAAAAAAAAAAACAAACCACTTTCTAATAGTCTAAAAGGTCAGCAGGGTGGAACTCTCCACCTCTTCTAGGCAATGTTCAGATATTGCTGGAAGACCACTTGTAGAACACAGAAAAAGATCCCAGCATCACAGAAGGGTTAGTTGGGCTGGATGGTGACTTCTAAACCCTGGACCTCAGAGAAGTTTTCACTGGGTGATGCAAAAGGAAAAAGTGTCTCTGTATGCAAATGTAGGATAATTTCAACAATTATGTCCCCTCTGGGACATAACATTTCCCTCTGGAGGGGAAGAACCTTCCTGTCTTGCAGCATGCATATTCCTTCCTCCTTTTTGCCGGGGAGGCTGGAGGAAGTGGGGTATATATCAATCTACCTTGATGAAATGTAGTGAAAACAGTAACTGCTGTCTTAGTGTTTGCATGGCAGCATCACATACAGACAAATATCATGATCCCTAAAATCCACTTTTGTTTTTATTTCATAGATGGATAAGAACAAAATATACAGCACCAACAGGAAGGGGTAACCTTAAGGATCTCTGTAGTATGGAGATATTAGAACAACTAGACTCAACTTACTGCCTCTTTTCTTCTTTCTTATCACCCAACTTGGCTGGGAGGGGGGGAAGGGGCCATGGAACTGGGTTATACTAAATATGAAATTTCTCAAGACACAGAACCTCTACGACGGGTCAGATGTGGCTCACTTCAACCACTCTTGGGAACCAAAGTTTACGAATCAAATCCAGGAAGGATCAAAATAATTTAGCTCTGAAGTTATGAAGCATTCAAAGTCCTATTGTATTGTTCTCTCTCCTTTGAAGGGGTCACAGCAAAATATGATTAGAACAGAAAAGCAATTTCTGAATCAATCACAGATTCTGAGGTAAACCAAGGTCAGCAAACCAATGTCCATTTACAAACACAAAATAAGGCGATGAAAGAAAGGAGAGTCATGAAAACATCAACCATCTGTCATGTCCATTACGCTAATACCTTTATTTTAAATGTTAAAGAAATCTAAAATGTTAGTGCTGAAAGGGATCATGGAAACACGTTATCCAAACTCATTTGTGCCAGGCAGTAGAGTCAGGAAACTAGCTAGCATTTCCTATCCCTCCCACCTACTGCTCCCTATTCTATCACCCTGCAAAGAAATTAGGTACATGCACAGGAGTAGAAAAATCTGGAACACGACTTCTTGTATTCTTTAGAACTGTATGGCATATTTCATTCAGATTCAAAACAGAAAAAAAAAAAACTGCATTGCTTTTCAGTCTAAATTTTCTTCAAATTCAGCATGTCTTTGTAAGGATATGTAATCCTAAACTGCCACAGCAAGTAGATCATAAATGCAGAGACTTGATGCCTTCCTCAATCTCAAGAAAAAAAGAAAAAAAAAAAAACACCAAAACACCTTGCATTTACCAATTATGGCTGGGATTCAGATGGAGGCGGTATCCACTTAGATCAGGCTGGTATCCACTTAAACACACACTTCTTTGCAAAGTATGCAGTAAACATGATCTCTTTTAAATTTGTTTTGATAACCATACACTTTCAAATCAGTTTCAATTACCAAACCATTGCCCTTTCAAGGTAGCTCACTAATACTTCCTGACTTTCAAGAATAGGTAATCAAAATAAATAACCCACTACTTCTATTGCCTCAGGTGAAAAGATTCCCCAGGCAGACAGGTGTTTACCAAGCTCAGGTATCAAGGAATCCTTTAAAATACCATTCCAGTCGGGGGGGGGGGACAGCTTACAAAACCCCAGTACCCAGCTTGAACTACAATAAACATCATAAAAGCCAAATCATGATGCTCTGATAATTCCCTTAAAGGCTAAGACTTAACAGAAGCATCTGATGAAAAATATGCACTTAAATCGGCTGGGGAAAATCTGCAGCCTATACCCCAAGGCCAGAAGCTCTACCTCCATATCTGCAATTTATCTCTTATTTTCCAGACCAAATGCTTATACTGCTTATACTGCTTCTTACCCAAGTTCATTTCACCCCATCTATAGGTAGCATGTGGGTACTGATAAAAGCTGTTTCTGATTTCATTTCCTACTTCCCAGATGTTTGCCACAGAGTTCTTTTTTTCCTTCAGCTATTTATGAATACACTCTAATTTAGAACAAACAAATTCAACATGTCATATTTTAAGCTGGGTAAGACACACAATAAATGACGGCTATATAGTCAATAATTTCTCCAGCTTCTGAACAAGTTTGCCTACCTAGGCAAGATTTGGACAGGCTGCCATGGTCTTACTTTAGAAAGAAAGTGCTTAAAATGTGTTACTGAGAACCTGCTTCTGCTAAAATGGCCAACTACAGGCTACTGTACTTCTCAGAAAAGGGTTTATGCTTCAAAGTGAAAAACCAAGCATCAACTTGGAGGAAATTAATGAAGATGACCCTAACACAATCCTTGGGATGAATCATGCACGTGCACTCCCAACTACATGCATGACTGGAATCTTAGGAAGAAGCAATGCTATCTGTACTCAAAACTCAAGAAAGACTGTACTTTCCCATGAATAATATTGATTTAGCCCTCTCTGAAACAAGCAGTGAACTATTAAACTAAGCAGTAAACACTGTAAGTGAAAATGCTGTCGAAATACATTCCCCAAATAAATGAAAACATAAAACAGACATCCTTAAATTTGTGATTAAAGATGGTGACCAAGTTGCCTCCTAAAATTCATCTTTAGGAGTGCCAGAAATAATAGCACACCTTTTGAAATCTAGGTGTTTGTTTTATAAGGAACTAATATATTTCAAAGAAAGCAACAGTTCAGGAGATCTTTTTTCTCCCGTTACTAATTGCAAAACTGGAAAAATTGCAGCCCCGATTGCAGACAGGCAACTCAAAAGCCCAGCTAACTAAATGCCTGTCATAAGAAAGCCATCTAGTGTTAACATTTAGAAATGAAAACTGCAGACAAAAGAGGCAAAGAAAAGAAAAATCTTAGTGACTATTTTGAACTTACTGAAAGCAAACCTATGAGAATCGTCAAGATTCTTTGTTTTTAAAAAAAAAAAAAAAAAAGAAAGGAAGAAAAGAAAAGAAAGGCCATCCTTATGAAAACCAACACTCATCTACACAAAACCCAAACCGTGCACAATTTTATTTTGACCAAAATCATGTTTCGGTGACCACGATTCCGTGACCAATGCACTTGATTTTTTCCAATACTCACGCTGGAGTCATCTTGGGCTGAATTAATTTAGCTGAAGCAGGTTAATGATGATAAATATCTCCCAGAGGGGCAATGCCAAGTTGTTTTCTCTTCCCTAGAAGCATCGGCTCTCGCTTGTAGATGATGAACCGAAATTGATTCTTTGGGTTTGTGGCACGGTTGGAAATTAATCTGTAGGTGCTCAAGGGGATGCTCCCCGGACGTGGTCAAAGTAGCTTTAGTAACGCGGGGGACGCGACCAGGCCCGGGAGCGGCGGGCGGAGCGCGGCTCGGGCACCCACCCGGGGCGGCACAGCCGTCGGGACCCCGGGACCCCGGGACCCCGAGTCGGGAGGGCGCTCGCCCCGGCTCGGATCTCACACGGAGGGAGGGAGCCGGGCGGGGGCGCGCTGGGGTCGCGCACCCTCCCGGGGGTGCGCCCGCAGCAAGTTCCGCAAGTACCCGCGCCCGGCGGCCCTTTATCTGCGCTCTCAGGTTAGTCCCAGCGGAGTTGCGGCGCGCCCAGGGGAGGTCCTCGTTAGCGCGCGGGGCCCCAGGCCGGGAAGAACCTTCCTGCCGATCGCTAACTTTGAGAGCGCGGGCGGCGCGGCCCCTCTGCCCGCCGGACCCCGGCCCGCGCCCCCGCCCCCGCCCCCGCCCCCGCCCCCGCCCTGCCCCCGCGGCCGCGCCGTCGGCCCCCGGGCGCCCCCGGGGCAGCCCCTCACCCCGGGGCAGCCCTCGCGGGGCCGAGCGCGCACACCAGCCGGAGGCTCCGAGCGGACCCGCTCCGCTCCCCGTCCGCTCGCCCGACACGCACCTCGGAGACGCAGTCCGCGGGGACCTGCTGCAGCCCGCGAGCGCGCGGCGGCGCCTACCGGGGCCGCCGCCTCGCCGCCCGCCGCTGCCCGGGGCTGCCCATCGGCCCGGACTCTGCCGGCGCCGGGCTCCGGCGGGAGGCGGCCCGGCCCCGCGGCTGCGGCTGCGGCTGCGGCTGCGGCTGCGGCTGCGGCTGGAGCGGTCCGCCCGGGGTCCGGCGGGCGGGCGGGCGGGCGGGCGGCCGGGGCGGGGGCGCGGCGCTGCTCCTCCTCCTCCGTCTTCCTCCTCCCGCTCCGCCGGCTCCTCCCGGGCTCCCGGTCTGCGGCGCCGGCTCCCGACGCCGCCGCCCGCCCGCCCGGCGGCCCCGCCCCCCGCCCGCTCTGCGGCCTCCCATTGGCTGCTGCCTGCAGGCCCCTCGGCCCCGCCCCGCGATTGGGCGCGGGCGCCGTCCGTCCCGCCGCCCCGCGGGGCTCGGGGCGCAGCCGGTGCGCGGTTCCCAGGCCCCGCGGCGCGCGAGAGCTCCGCGTCCCGGAGGCGTCCGGGCGCCCTGCCCCGGGAGGGGGCTGCGGGGCGCGGGGGCGTGGGGGCTGCGGGGCGCGGGGGCGCGGGGCGCGGCGCCTGGCGACCTCGCGGCAGGTGCGTCCCACCTGGCCCCGCGCTCCGGGAGGGCCGGCGCCGCCCTCGGCGGACTCGTCCTCCCCCTCCGGCTGGAAGAAGTCAAAAACCCGGAGTCGGGCTCCGAGCGGCCCCCTCGCGCCGTCGCGAGCCTGCCCGGGCCGCAGTCTCCGGAGCCGGAGAGACGCGGCCGCCGGCACCGAGGCCCCGCGCCGCCCAAGCCCGAGCGCCGCCGGCCGGGCGTCCGCCGTAGCCGCGGGCGCTGCGCGGGACCTGGAGTCGCGGAGGCCGGCGGCAGCGCAGTGGCCTGGCTCGCTGTGTCCGTGTTCGGAGGACGGCTGGCGGGCGGGCTCCCGCGGCGCGCCGGGCGGGGGGGGGGGCGCCCCGGGACGACCCCGGCAGAGCCCCTGCCCCGGGGCTGCGGTGGGAGGTGGCGCGGAGATAGACGGGGCGTTAGGTCGAGGTCAGGGGGACGCCCGCGCGCCGGCGTCCTGCAGAGGTGAGAACTCTCGGGGTGCCTAGAGAGGCAAGAAGTCCGGGCGCCCCCAGCTCAGCCCCAGCCCGCCCAGCCCGCCCCCAGGCAGTCCTCAACCTAGAGCAGGAATGCTTTGGACCTTTACCTCAAGGAGGGGGAAATGAACTTTTTATATCCATCTTTTCTACTTCCTAGGAAATGTTGGTCACCGAGGAGGGAGCACTACCTGAAACTATTAATATGAATTGTTCGACATCTGAATGGGTTGCTGAAAAATTCAAGGAACTCTTTTAAGAAAGAATGATTTTATTTATTTATTCATGAAAGACAGAGAGAGAGAGAGAGAGGCAGAGACACAGGCAGAGGGAGAAGCAGGCCCAGGATCACACCCTGGGCCAAAGGCAGGCGCTAACCGCTCAGACACCCAGGGATCCCCGAGGAACTCTTTTTTTTTTTTTTTTTTTTTTTTTTTTTTTAGGAGAAGACTTGTTAAGCTACGTGGGATTGGCTATGCTTAACCGGTCCGGGGGGAGTCACCACGTATAAGCAGGAGTGGACCGGTCTAGGTAGTCGCTAACCTACCTTCCAGCCCCACCATAGCATTTCCGGAGCTGGCTTTAAGGCAGCAGTAGAGCTGGCCTGGCAGTTTCCTGAGACTGGATCCAGGGCTTTCAGTTCCTCTTTCTAGACGAAGAATTCTTCCTGGAGAGATAAAGAGGTCTGTACTTCCCCATTACAGACACTCCCTAGAATGTAACCCTGTGCAAAATTAGAGGCTGTTCTTCCCGTGCTGTATTTCTCTGTTATCTAAAGCATGTACCCATGGTACAGTCGTTTACATCTCTTTGTGAAATATGGGTATAATACATGGGAGTGGGTATAATAAAACATGTCAGTGTTACAATGACATGAAAGAGTTTCTGAGTTCTCCGGGTTTGCAGGGCTTCCTATTATCAGCACTTACAAGACTGTCATTTATTCATTAAGCAAGCACAACGTGGAGTCCCCGTGATGTTCCAGAAAATGCTAGGAGCAGGGATATAAAAACACATAGGACATGGGCCCTGCTCTTCCGGAGCGCACCATGTCACAGGCGTTGATCCTCACACATGGTAGATGCTCTACTAGACATACGAACAAAATCCACAGGGATTTTGTCCCGGACAGACATTTCCTGGGGGAGCCCAAAGAGGATATATTTCTCTTCCTAACATCATCACAGTACTGCTCATGCCTCACAAGGCTGCATGGTTCATTGTCTTTCCCAGTACTCCCTAAGGGCCTTAAGGAACAGAACCACGCACGGCTCCCCCTGCATTGTGACTGTTGGCTCAAACTACGTGAGTCAGTGCTTGGCCCTGAGGTGGCTCCTGATGCGGCAGCTGCAATTGCCCGTTGTCTAGTAGATGAGGAGGAACTTTGATGTGTTCCTCAATGTCCAGTATGTGACAATATTATAAGGAAATCTGCTTAGAAGCTCAATGATGATGTCAGCCACAATTCCCTTCATCTCCCACTTTACCATCCCTCTCCTGGTGTTTTGTGAACCGAAACACCGGAGGCCCTTTTGGGCACTATCGAAGTTGGTGGCATTTTTCTAAGTACTCATAAGGGACAGCACACAGTAGTCAGCTGTCTGCATTAATGAAAGCCCTAGAGAGTTTCTGATTTCCCAGAACCCCAGGTCACATGCAGCCCTCCCTTGTCACAATGTCCCTGTCTTTAGGAGACATATCCTGAGCCCCTTTGCCATGTCTGGCCCAGGCTGGACAGTGGCGACGGGGCCCAGGGCCAGCCCCACAAGGTGTCCACCTTGTAGCACACTGTGAGATCTTTAAGGGACAAAGCTTAGGAATGAGCTTTGCATCGTCTTCCCCCAAAACAGACTCTAGAAATACTATTAGATGTAATGCTTGCATCCTTCCTCACTGGTTTTAACATCAGCCCTCTTATTTCACACCATTTTGAGGAAGGGAAGGGCAGAAGCTGAAATTACCTCCCTGTTAAGATATCAGTGGAACATTTTGGCCTTAGGATATCTTACTGGGGGAAAAAAAAAATCTTTTTCTATTCAAGCTATAAATTTTGCTGAAGTTCTAGAGAAAAATATCAACTATGAAGTGTGACACTGTATTTGCCCAAAAGCTAGAAGGAAGGGTCATGTGTTTATCTTGTCACTGTCACCTTCCCTCGGGTCCAGTCTTCCTCTTACCTTGTTCACTTTCGGCCTCTCAAGTCTGTTTGCTCCTGTGAATTTCATTGCGCTCTGAGGGGTTCCTAAAGAAACAAACTCAAGGGATTAATCCTCTTGACAATTATGAATCAGCACATCCACTCCTTCTGAAATAATTTCAACATCAGTCTCAACTGTTTTTCTCTGCATGGTGTAAAAAGGCACAGAGTTCAAAGGCATACCAGCTGTCTACGCCGTTCCAAGATTTTGAGCTTATTGGCTGACCTTGGCTAGTAGTTGTATCTATTTACCTTTGAACTTAGGAAAACAGGAGTTTTTATTTTCTTAACACACTACAGGAAGTTTCTACCGACAAACCATTTGTATGCACTGTAATAAGCCCAAATGGCTCTCTAAGCTAATAAGGTTTTAGATTCCCACCCTCATTTCCTCTTCCCCTTTTCTACTATCAACCCTCTTTTCAAAAGTATTTCTTTTAAGTCAAATGAATATTCATAAGTTGCAACAAATGTGTATTGATTTCATACTACCTTCAGGGCATTTCGTTAGATTCGGAGCACCCAAAGGGCTGAACCCCAGTTGTCTGTGAATTTCATGATAAGGAGCAGGTGCTCAGGACCACTGATGAGTGGTGCCCACAGGGAGACCAGGAGCTCCAAGCACCTGCAGGCAAAGCTTGAGCCAAGGGGGGAAGGTTCATCAAAGATATCAAACCTGCCGAGCAAGGAGGAAAGAAGAGAACACGACCAGTAAAGACACAGGAACCAACAGTGCGAGGCATGTTTGGGAAACAGCTGTGCCCTTCGGCTGTGCACAGGCTTACTCACTTATGTAACATACACTTATCCAGTGCTTTGTCCCTGCTAGGTTCCGTTTTCTTCTTAGAAGGGAAATCATCATCCCAAGCAGACAAGCATATAGGCACTGCTTCGCCTTCCTTTCAAAATGGCAATCACTCACCACAGAAATTTGTTAGGCTATGGTCTTATAAAGTAAAATAAGAAGGGCCAACTTCTGTGGCAATTCACAAAACATGGTGAAGCTCCAGCTCAGAAAGCTGGGCTACTGGCTCTGGTTGTGAGTATTCCAATAGTTCTGATAAAAAGAAAGCACCTAGTCCTCTTCAAGTGGAACTCAAAAGAATAATATGAGTCATTAAATAATGTGCTATATATCACACATTACCCATAGGAGCCAGAGAAGAAAACTACTCTAAAAAAAAAAAAAGCAAAAATCCTGCAAGTATATCTGGAATTCTACTGTGTGCTCAGTTCTGCCCTGGGGAATGTAGAAGATTACCACATACAAGTAACCAGATCATCCTCAAAAGTGTATAATACAGCTAAGCTGGGATTTTTACATAGGAAAATTCTAATAACAGTGCAACATCAACACATTAAATGTTGCATGTTGCATAGATATGGGCTTGAGGATTTGGAGAGGCAGTATGCAAAGAGGGGTCAAAGATCAGTGACAAAAATCTTTCGGAATGGAAGGGTTTCCTGTTTTCTTAACATCTGTTTCACAAATAAGAAATCCTATGTGTTGATCTTCGCTGTAATCTTCGCAATCCAATGTTTGCACTAGACTCTTCCAAGATACATGGATTCTCTCTTTTCTGATGACCCAAGCTCATGCCCACAGCTACTCACATTGTCTTCCCTTTACCTTCCTTATCCCAGACGCACAGCTAAGCAACATGTACAAATTTTATTACTCTGACAGCAGTCTTCTGCCCTCTTACCTCACTTCAAAAAAAAAAAAAAAAGAGAAAAGAAAGAAAGAAAAGGAAAAGCTAAAGGCCTCAACTACAAATAATTTAAAAGCATCTTCCACCTC